TTGTTTCTTATTTGTGGCAACCCTAAGCTGAACCTATCATGGGGTTTTCTTAACTAGATTTGTTCAGAGCAGGTTTTCTGTTGCTTTCCTTTAAGCTGAGAGTGTGTGACTTATCCAAGGTTACCCTTTAGGTTTCCATGGCTGAACAGGGATTCAAACCCTGTTCTCCCAGAGTCCTAGTCCCACACTCAAACCACTACACCACACTAGCTATATTTGTGCAGTTAATCCCCCCCCCATTCCCAAATAACACCTGCTTTGGCTGTTAGAGGAAAAGGAAGCAAAACAGAATATTCTTTATACTCACTCCCTTTCACAAATAGGAAGGAAAAACTAGCAAACAGAGAAACATGAAGCAACAAAACAAAACAAAAAATGGCTAGCCTGGTGTAATTTGCAGCAATATGGTGGTATTGAAGTTGGACTTTTCTAAAAATCTGGAAAAATATAATCATACATCTCTTCTTTCTCTCTTAAAAAAGACTAATTCTTGCTTAGAGGAAAATGAAATAACTAATCAAAATGTATGAAGTTTAGTCAAGGTAATGATTATTCTGCAAACTAAATCATAGTCTTTAATATCTGCAATGAATCAAATTGACACACAATGGTAGTCTTTCAGCTTCTGGAGTAATCTATACATGTCATCATTAGTTATCTTACTATAAAAGGGACCTATTAAAAACAGTAAGACCATCAGATTTGCTTCCTTTTCATATCTTTCTATTATGCACACATGTGAATATATGAATTTCCATCACATCTGAAACATGAACATGAACAGCTCCTCAGTAAGGTAGAGAGAGGCATGTGCTCAGCTTGGAAATTCAACAAATATAGAAAGAAGCAGATAGACTCAGAGTGGGCAACCTGTGTTCTCCTAGAATTTTGACTCTAACTCTCATCAGTCTGAGCCAGCATAGCCAAAAGTGAGAACTGTTGGGACTTGGAAGTTAGAGAGTGCTGAGTTCACTATGAAGCTTCCTACTGGCCATGAAAGAATCAGAAGATACAATCTACAAAATGAATAGTCAGAGAACTCATCTTATGAATTTTTGTGAAGAAACACTAAGTCAGCCAAAATGTATTGTCAGACACAAGCACATGTTTAGATAGGGTATCAGAGTTGTTTAGAGTAAGTAGGATAACTCTTTAAAATAAACCTTTTCTCTTTTCAACTGAGCTACAATCATACAATGCCTTAGTTATGCACAACATCCACCTAGAGTAAGAGTGGCTAAGGTGTGGTCCTTCCAATGTTCCTGGACAGTAGTTCCCATCAGTCCTAGTTCGAGTAAGGAACGCTGGAATATGCAGCCCAGCAATAGCTAGAGGACTCAGGGCCTTTGCTCACCCCTGCCTTACAGAGAGTTGTTATTGGGTGCCTTCAAGTTGTTGGCAACTCTAAGGTGACACTATCACAGGGTATTCTGGGGCTGAGAGTGTGTGACTAACCCAAGGTCAACCAACAAGTCTTCAAGGCTGAGCAGGGAATTGAACTCTGATCTCCAGACTCAGTCGAATACTCAAACCACTGCACTACACTGGCTCTTTCCTAGAGGATTTACCAGTGATCCGCCCTTATGTTTATTCCAGTCCTGTTACAGATAAAGGGATAGTTATGAATACTTGGGCTCCTTTCTCCCCCAGTGGGCAGTCCCAGAAGCCCCTCTAAGGTCCCAGACTCCCAAATTATTCTCAGTTTTCCCCAGGTGATTTCTTACTCTCCTAACAGCATATAATGGGTCAAATCCTCTGCATGTCCAAGCTACCAATACTCCCAAACCTTGAATGAAAAAAAATATCATAAGAAAATCAGACACTTTTGAAACTGGAAGTGACATGACATATCTTCTGGTCATGTCTGGTGTGCTGGTGCAGGGACTGCAGGGGCCAAAAATATCTCCTGCCCCCTCCACGGTTGCTGATTCCTGCCCTCAGAGCAGAACTATGTGATGGCTATGCTGGTTTGACAACATGCAATCTGTGTCAGTGTGTTGGAGCTCTACATGCTGGACATACAGAGCCTCCACTTGAGAGTAGGACTCTTGATTAACCAGTGTCCTTTGGGTAGAAACTTTACACAGGTATGTCCACAGATGCTCTTCAGAGCAACACTGATGACCCAATATCCAATGGAATATGGCCACAGACCCCAGTGTCTTAGAGGCACAGCAGTCCCACTTGTTCATGACAGTCAGATGCACATTATGTCCAAAGGAGTGTGGTTACAGTTGTTACAAACATATGAACATGGGAAGGGATTCTCCTGAACAAGTCTAATGGGCCTAAGCAGACTGCCAGAAATAGTGCACATTAAATTAAGGCACTGCCCTGGCTCAGGGCTAAGGAATCATGGGAACTGTAATTTATTGTGGCACCAGAGCTCTCTGACAGAGAAGGCTCAATGTCTCAGAAAAAAATAAAATTCCCATGATTCCCTAGCACTGAGCCAGGGCAGTGCCTCAATTTAATGTGCACTATTTCTGGCAGTCTGCTTAGGCTCTAATATCAGTGCTCACTTTCCCTTGGATACTTAAGGGCCTTTGCAGACTGCCAGAAATAGTGCAAATTGAGTCCACTTTAAGGGTTAGGGTTAGTGCTAGGGAATCATGGGAATTGTTTTTTTCTGAGACATTGAGCTTTCTCTGTCAGAAAGCTCTGGTGCCCCAATAAAATACAGTTCCCATGATTTCCTAAGCCTAACCCTTAAAGTGGACTCAATTTGCACTATTTCTAGCATTCTGCAAAGGCCCTTAGCAGGGGTAGGCAACCTTTCCCCTTTAAGGGCCAAGGGACTTCAGCTCCCAGAATCCCAGGAGCTATTGGCCAAAATGGGACTATTGGCCAACATGGCTGAGGCTTCTGGGAGCTGAAGTCCCTTGGCCCTTAAAGGGGAAAGGTTGCCTACCCCTGGCCCTTAGCAATCAGGACTCTAGTGGACACACCTATGTAGTTGTTAACTACACTGGCATCAAGTTAACTTCAACCTGTGGTGAGCCTATGAATGAGAGACTTCCCAGTCACTCTGTCATTAACAGTCCTGCTCAGGTCTTACAGACTCAGGCCCACGACTTCCTTGATTGAGTCTATCTATCTGTAATGAGGTAGTCTTCTTTTCCCGCTGCCTTCTACTTTACTAAACATTACTGTCTTTTTTAGTTAGTCATATCTTCCCATGATATGTTCAAAGTACAACAGCTTCAATTTAATCATTTTACTTTTTAGGGAGTGTTTGGGTTGGATTTGCTGTAGGATCCATTTATTCATCTTTTTAGCAGTCCATTATATCTGTAGAATCTCCAGAACCACATTTCAAATGAGCTGATTTTCTTCTTATCAGCTTTCTTCACTGTCCAGCTTTCACAGCCATACATAGAAATGGGAAATATGGTGGCATGGACAATCCTGACTCTAGTATTCAGTGATACATCTTTACATTTCTGGATCTTGTCTGGTTCCTTTATAGCTGCCCTTCCAAGTCCTAGTTATCTTCTAATTTCTTGACTGCAGTCTCCATCCTGAGTAATGACTAAGCCAAGGTATGGAAAATAGTTAACTATTTCAATGTCTTCATTAGCTGCTTTAAAGTTATGTGGCCACAGGTCTACACCTGTGTAGAGTTGCAACCAAAAGATGTGGAATACTGGGATTATACTCTCATGTGGAAGCAGAAAATATGCAAGATGTCAGTGGGAAGATAAAGCATTATGTGCAGCAGGTCCAGCAATGGGAAGGAAGGTCTTGACTTTGGACTGTTCATTGTACTTAATGAAATGTTCAAAACCAGGCTGGAAGCCTTTCTTTCTTATGTGTTGTGTACCTTCAAGTTGTTTCCGACTTATGCCAGCCCTACGGTCATCCTGTCATGAGATTTTCTTGGCAAGATTTGTTCAAAAGAGATTTGCCATTGCCTTCCCCTGAGGCTGAGAGCATGTGACTTTCCCAATGTCACCCAGTGTGTTTCATGACCATGTTGGGAATTGAACCCTGGTCTCTAGAGTTATTGTCTTAACACTCAAACTGTTACATCATGCTGGCTCTCCTTACAGTCTGGATATCTCTTCCAACACTCATGTTTGATATCAACCTGAGAAGTTATGCTCAAGTCAGGTTTTTCTTCTCCCTTCTCTAGTGCCTTCTCTTCTTGCACAGACTCTGTTAAAGCCCTAAGGAAACAGTGTGGTAATGTAGAAGAAGAATTTAGATGTTCTGAATTGTAGCAAAGAGTCACCATTTTACAGTTATGTCACAGAACTTCAAACTCATGCTGTCGCAGGGTTAAATATTACTCTAGGGAAACCCTGCAATTTAGGATGAATGCTGCTTTTTGGAAGAAGCAAGGCAACATTTTTCAAGCATGCCCTCTCCTTTTGTAAATGGCACCTGTCTCAAGCAGCTCATGGAATGCTAAGCTAGAGTCTGAGTGAGATTGATTGGTGGACAGAGGCAGGTTCATGATAAATGCCATTTATCACCTCAGTGTGCAATCTATCACATAAAATCACTCTGTGTGTGTGTGCACACGTGCACATACACACACACACACACACTTTATTGTCCTGTGACAGTGGACAATAAACAGCGAAGGCATTTTGCAATTGATAGGAAAGAAAGACAGAGAAAGAAGGATATGTGTGTGCGCATATTGCGACTGGTTCAAATGGGAAAAAGTTACTTAAGAAATTAATTGCCACTAGAAGATTTGGAGCATTATATGCTGTGTCTGTTTTCCCACAGCAATTATTTTGATATATGACTTTTTAATGTTGGCTCTGGATATTCTTGCATATGTATATTTGATTGTGGATGAATAATACTCCAGCATGGGATCTGTAGTCTTTTGGTCATGCAAAGACTGAACCTCAGTTACATGCATGAGTTTGCTAGAAATTCTTAATTAGCATCACAATGGTTTAGTCTTTGCAGATTAGTGCTATAGCATGGAAACATAGAAAATAACTTGGCATAACTAGCATTAGAATGCAAGCAGTATGAGAGGTAGCATGGCATAGTGGTTTTAGCATTAGATTATGACTCTGAAGATCAGGATTCAAATCCCCACTCAGCCATGGAAACCCTTGACCTTGGGCAAGTCACTGTCTCAGCCTCAGAGGAATGTAAAGACAAATCCCATCTGAACAAATCTTGCCAAGAAAACCCTGTGATAGGTTCACGCTCAGGTTGTCATAGTTGGAAATGACTTGAAGGAACACCCCAACAATGGATACTGGAATTCTGGATGGTTGGTGTTATTCAGCCTGAAATTCATATACAAGTCAAATGTGGTAGCCTTACATCATTACAAGAATAAAGCTCAGGATGAAAAGAAATTCAGTCTAGGCTTTATTTTCATATTGGTAGGTAACCAAAACACAGTTTGTTAGATCTAGGGTACATCTACACTCTAGAAATAATGCAGTCTCATACCATTTTAGGTGCTGCAGCTCCTAAAGTGGTATGAAACTGGAATAAAGTTGAATCCTGGGATTTGTATTTTTAAAAGGCTTTTAGCCTTCTCTGCCAAAGAGTGTTGGTGCCTCACAAAACTACAAATTCCGGGATTCTTTAGGATGGCGCCATGGCAATTAAAGTGATGTCCAACTGCATTATTGCTACAGTGTAAATGCATCCTTAGTTGCACATATTTAAGGTAGTTGCATTGAAAACAGTGAGACCTAAGTTTGCCATGACTAACTGAAGTTTTATTTATTTATTTTATTTACTTATATCCCACTTTTCTCCTAATATAGAGACTCAAGGCGGTGAACTGCAAATTTAAAACAATATAATTTAAAAACAATACAAAAGCATTATAATCTATAAATATAAAATTAAAAATATAAACAATTTAAAAAGTTGAAACAGCTATGTACAGTTTTATTTCCATGGGTCTAATCAAAATATGACCGTATCAGGATTCAGCCTCCAGTGTTGGAATTTCTGTCATTCTTTTCAGAATAGAAAATAATTTTTTGAATCATAGAATTCTGTATGATGTATGTATATTTGGGATTTTTTTTAATATAGAACTCATAATATAGAACCATCAGAATCCATTGTCATGTTTCTTTGGAAGAAAGCCTGACAGTTACAATTGAAGTAAAAGTGAATACACACACACACACACACACACAGACCGAGATATTTGTAAAGCAAATATGCCCTACTTAGCTACAAGTTTTTATTTATTTCAGTACCAGACATCAGTGATAGGACTTCTTGTTTTAAGACAGTAAGAGGAAAATCAATCCTCTCAATTTACAAGCCATGACCCAGGCAAAGCTGTTTGATAGCCCTATAATAGAGAACGAATCCATCAGTGACTATTGGCTGTTATTTGCTAAATGAAACCTGAAATGAATGTTAAATGACACCTGAAATGAAACAAAGGTTCAGAAGCAGCTTTTGTTTTAATAACAGCTATTGAGTTTATATTCTGTCTCGGCTAAATTTAGAGACAGGTGAAATCTTTTTCATCATAAACATCGATATAATGAGCAGGTCAAGGCTAAAGAAGCTTGGTAGTATGCAATTCTGAGAAGGAACAAGAATATTTCAGATAAAGGGTATGGAACAGAAGGTTATGACAATCAGTGCTGGATGGGAGATTCTGAGAGTTGTTGTTCAAAAAAGTGACTCTCCCAAGCTCTATTTATGATGACATCCCTCCCTATTAGGGATGGAGAAAGTGCAGCTTGTAGTCCTCATGTGGCTCCTGGGACTCTGCTTTGCAGTTCCTGGAGCCCACCAAGAGACCACTAAAGCCCCAAGACCCCTCAAATTAAAAAATTCAGCTTCACCACATACATATATTCATCCATGCAGGCATACAAATTTATGTGAAAGTTTAGGCCCCGTTGCCTCCTGTTCTATTGTTGTTGTTGTTGAGTGCCTTCAAGTAGTTTCCTTCTTATGGTGACCCCATTGCAGGGTTTTCTGGGGATGAGAGAGTGTGACTCACTCAAGATCACCCTGTGGGTTTCCATGGCTGAGTGCGGAGTAGATCCTGTTCATCAGAGTCCTAGTTCAACGCTGTCTCCCATTACCCCAGTGCAATAATTGGCCTTATTTTGGCTAATTCTCCATCACACTGGGATCAATGATACAACTCATAGTGACTGCAATCCTTATGAAGTAGCATGTGGACCTACACTAGGCTGAACCATATACCACCTCATGACTTATGGAACAGTCTCTGAGCGCCTTCTTCCCTAAATGTCCGTTTTCTGGTTCATGAGGAATAGGCAGGGTTACAGAAGAATCTGCCTATGTCTCCATAACTAGACACAAAATTATTACAGCAGTGCTGAGACTACCAGAGGATCCTGAAGAATCTCAGCAGTGATGCCATGATTTTTCATCTAGTTATAGGGAGATGCTTCTGCAATTTGCAGGGAATAGCCATGTGTATGTGTGTTGGGTTTTGTTCATTAAGGGAGGGCTTGGGTGCTGTGGAGGGAGGAAGGGAATACTAACTCCTGCATTGCTCCAAAAAAGATATATGCACACACACACACACACACACACACACACACACACACACACACACGTGTGTGTGTATGTCCCTGATAGCATCTGGGCAGTGTGTATGTGACTCAATAAAGGAAGCCTCAGCCCTGAGCTTGTAAGACCTGGGCAAGGCTGTTGACTCATTCAGAGGGTCACATAAGTCAAAGCCAACTTGGTGGTCATCATCATCAACAACAACAAGTTTTCAATACCAAGCAATCAAATCCAGGGGTGGTTGTTGTTGTTATTGGGTGCCTTCAAGTTGTTTCCAATTTATGATGACCCATCTCAAGGAGTTTATTAAAAGACAAGTGATTTTTTCTATTTAGAGGGCTTAAAATTTGGCTTTCATGCATTCTTAGTTTATGATAAAGAGAATTTAGGCCAATTGTGAAGAATCATAGTGTTAGGAAATCTTTGTTAAATATTTGGAAAAAGTAGAAAAAAAGAATTATCTTTTTTGGGTATCTCCACAGGAAGCCCTGTATAGGAAAGAAATGCATAGGGAAGGAAAGTGGTGTATGTACCAGGGCATTATTATAAAACAGGGAAGAGATTGTAAGATAAGAACACTAGAGGAATTGAATACAGAAAAGGTTAATTTGAGTTACTTCTAATATAGGCAATTATATGAGAGAATGAAAATTGATATAAAGAACAAGAGTATTACAGATAAGAAGATTTAGGGCCTTTGCAGACTGCCAGAAATAGTGCACATTAAATTGAGGCACTGCCCTGGCTCAGTGCTAGGGAATCATGGGAATTGTATTTTTTTCTGAGACATTGAGCTTTCTCTGTCAGAGAGCTCTGGTGCCACAATAAATTACAGTTCCCATTATTCCCTAGCACTGAGCCAGGGCAGTGCCTCAATTTAATGTGCACTATTTCTGGCAGTCTGCAAAGGCCTTTAGAGAGTATATTAACTGAAGAGAAATATAAAAAGGGAACAATCAGAAAATTATATGATATATTGCTTACTTGGGATACAGAGGAGGAGGTTATTAAAGAATTGATGATTAAATGAGCAAGAGATGTGGGTCATCTGATCCAGTTAGAACAGTGGGAGAGAGTTTGGTTGAAAAGTTTAAAACATATTTCAGCACAAAATGTAAGAGAGAATTGATTTAAGATGTTCTTTAGATGGCACCTTACACCAATCAAATTAGTGAAAATTTATCAAAATATGAATAATTTGTGCTGGAAACGTGGAGAAATACTGGGATCATACATTCATTGCTGGTGGACATATAAGAAAGCTAAAGAATATTGGAAAATTTTGACTATTGAATTAAAGATGAAGCCAGAATATTTATTATTAGGCTTGTTTGAAAATTAGCTGTAGCAAAAATATGGGAAATTTTTTATTTTATACGGTGACACTAGCCAGAATTTTGTTTGCCCCAAAATGGAAATCTAAAGGAAATAAGGAGATGGATGGTACAATTATATGATATTATGGAGTTGGATAAATTAACTCGTATGATTAATAATGTTCCACTGGATGATTTTATGTTGAAATGGGTTTTGGTGTTAAAATTTATAAAAGAACAATGGGATGTTATAATGATTTTGAATCCATGAGATACGTTGTAAACTTTCTTTTTTCTTTTTTTGTGCATTGTAAGAACAACTATATTTTATAGAGATATGCTGATATGTTAATGGTAGATGTTTTGATAGAACTCTTAGGAGATGTAAGGTTACTAAAATATATGGTTAAGTGAAAATTAGAACTCAATAATTGAAGATTACTAATGAAAGCTTTAAGGGATAGTTGTAGTATAAGAAAGTTAAGTAGGTGTGAATGATTGGGTGGAGGAACTTGTAGCAATAGATTAGGTGGTTAGAATAGAGGAATAAAGACAGAGGAATTAATGAAAGGGAAAGTTAGAAATGGCAGATAAAATGTAGAGAAGGTAAGAGAAAGTGTTTGAGGGTAGAGAGGAAGTTCAGTGAGAAAGAATGGAAAAAGTGTGGGTAGAGAGAAGGGGCAAGAGAGGTATATTGAGAGGAAGGAGAGTGGAGGGATAGGAAAGAGGTAAGAAGAACAGGCAAGACAGGAATGAATATAGAGACAGAAGAAAGAAATCACTCTGTCAAATAGTATGGCGAATAGTATAGCTAGTATAATGTCAAATACCATGGCGAATGGTATAGCTAGCTACCACTCAGTAATAAAGGCAGGACATTTTATTTGATAAAAATTCTATTTTGTACCTAAACCAGTTATGACCTTATATAATTGATGTTGTATGCCCTTCATTTGCACAGCTAACATGGTGTAGTGGTTGGAGCATTGGAGTACAACTCTGGAGATCAGGGTTCAATTCCCCACTCAGTTATGGAAACCCACTGGGTGACCTTGAGTGAACCACATACCTTAGCCCAAGAAAACCCACTTTTTAATTGTATTAATTCAATTTATAGCACACTCTGTAGGGGATGCAGTGACTCAAGTGGTTAAGACACTGACTCTGTTGATTGCAAGATCGGCAGGTTGGCAGTATGAAGCCCAGGTGCTGCATGAAGGGGTGAGCTCCCGTCACTAGTCCCAGCTTCT